AGTTGTAATTAACTGTCTCATGATTATATGGGGTGGGGGCAGTTCAAGGAAATAGTTTCGTTTTTTAAATCTTGAACAACCTCCTGTAATCTTTCTATTTAGTTTTAATTTCCTCTGAAATCATCCCATTTTAGAAATATTGTTGCAGGTATTGGAACAACAAGGACCGATGACGGAGTGTTGAGCAACAATCAAAATATCCGTTTCTATGGGGTGCGGCAGATGGAAGAAAGACCTCAAAGCTACATATCACCGAATAGAATCAAGTCCAACACCAACGTCCCCTACATGCAAAGTGTACGAACCCTGAGTTTTTCATTTTTAGAACCCTTTTCTATAAGCCAAACCCATGTTTCAATAAAGGACAGCAGCGATCTATACGTTCCCCTGGCTTTGTCGGAATTCCATCCATTCAGCTCCAGAGTGTAGAAGGATCTGCAAATAGTTAATTTAAAGAGTTTGAAAGGCTGAAAAATCTAAAAAAAGCTTGTTAGAATTTTTATCGCAATATTTCGGTGTTTAACACCTTCGTCGTGCCTAAAATATTCCATTGTCAGTGTAGCGTAGATGCTGCACAGAGTGTGTCAAATCAACTCACGTGGGCCTGTCTCTGTTAGTGGAAAAACTTACTCTTTCCGTCGAAAATGGTGATCCGCGCGGTTACCGCTCTAGACGGAAAGAGATACCGGTTCAATAGATGCATACCCACCTGAGAAATTTGATATACTCTGTGTGGTATCTAACTACATTAAGAAAGTATTTGAGGCCTGACGAAGGTGCTAAGCATCGAAATATTGCAATAAATATTCCTGAAGGGAGTTTAGGGTATTTTCGCCTTTTGAACCCTTTTGGAATAAACCTTACAGAGCTTCAGTTTTTTAATATTCATGCAACAGTTATATTTGATCAAGAGGTCTAATGTTTTCTTGTCTGTTGAAACTGCTTCTGAATTAATACTTTGTAGTGATTATACTTGTATGTATCAGTATATTCAGGTAACCCCAATATCTCCTCAACGACCGCCGGTAAAACTGCCATATGAAAGGAGCCGACCTCAACTCCAAACAAGAGATGATGGCATTAGTGCAGTATCTCTACTTGGAAGCGCTCCTGCAGTGGCTCGTCCCTTACAATCAAGGTTAGTAACCTCTACGCTGTAATTTCTGGTATATTGCAACCAGTGTAATGGGTAAATTGAATCGTTTCAAGTTTTGATTTGTTTTACTCCAGGCCATCAAGGAGTCAAAATCAATCTCCCTCTCCTCGCAATGTGGTAGGTTTAACTTACTTCATATGATGTGTAATGTTCTGGACAATTATACCGTCGGCTGTATCTCCAAAAAAAACTTGATTATCGAATGTTCTCGAAGAAATCTCTGGAGAGACAATGTGTTCAATACAAGTGCGGGTGCTGTTTGGCTGCATATGCGTTCCGCATCAATTCACGAAAGTTGTGTGCACACCTTTCGAGAACTGATAGGGGTGATAAGATAAGCCACATCGATAACCTTATCGCATGTTTCATTTTTACGGAAAGACTGTGTGGAGCGGTTGATTGCAATTAGGCCATTACCTGCCCGGAGCCATCAGCCTGTTTTGAATTGTGGAATTATGAGTGCCGAGAATTGCCTAGACTCAGAGGTAGGGGCACCATTTTAATGATGAAAAATAATTGTAAACGGAATCCTTTTGAAGGAATGTTTTTTTTTTCTTCTGTGTTGGATAAGGTCCGCCTTAATCACTTCTTCTTTCGCAGTTTGCCCCACCTTTTTTCCGGATAGATTAGTTGCAGTCTTTCCTTGTTAGAAACCGATTTCCTGATCGCTACGCAAGCTTACCGTCCAGCGTTGGCCTAGGGTTGCAACATAGCACAATGAAGGCTAAGTCATTCCCTTCCAATCGCGCGTTACTGATTTGTAACCAGAATAGTCGTGATCGCTATCGACCGCCCTTGTAGCGGTGCCATAGAAGCGAATCTGGCGCCATAAGGCTGTGTTCATACTTTGCGTCAGCGTCCACAAGCGACTAAGAAAGTATAGGTATCGCTTTAGCGAATACCACCGTCAATACCAGCGTACAGCAGCGTTTTCGTGGGTCTTTTGAACTTGAGCAGAACTGCCTGCGAAAACGCTGCTGTACGCTGGCCTTCGCTAGATCGATACTTATACTTTCCTAGTCACTGGCGCTGGCATACCCTCGAAACACTGGTGAACGCTGACGCAAAGTATGAACGTAGCTTAGGTGTATCAACATGGCTTACCTTATCGTTCGTATCAGTGCCCGAAAGAAGTGCACACAGATGCCCTTCCCCCAAACCCCGGTAACTGAGTAGCGCCCGATTGCAAATTTTAATGTTGACATTTTCATATTTTCCACAGCATTTTTTCCTGTTAGCTTTTGGAAAAAACTCATTATACCGTGGAGCTGCATCATGGTTTTACGAATTCGTGAAACCATAATGCAGTTTCACGTTTTTTGATGCTTTTATTTTTGCTTTATTAAGCTTTTTCATTGTTATAGTCTATCTGGTTTCTGATGAACTTAAGCTTTAGTCATCACAAAACACAAGTCAAATATAAATACATCAAGGTGGCATTGATTTTTCGATTGGAGCATATTGTAGTCGATGTCTTGGAAGAAGGCACTGCAAAAGATGCGTATCGATCGGCTCCGATCGT